ACATCATTACATCTATTCTAATATCTGCCCCCCCCCCCTTCTACACCACCCAGCAGTGTCAAATTACCTTGGAAGCCCACTTCTCTGGAAATATAGTAGCCCCTTCTTCTGTTTGGAAATGTATTTCCAAACAGAACTATTTGGTCGCCGGTACTGAGAAGGGATGTCCTTGAACTGGAGAGAGTCCAGCGGAGGGCAACAAAACTAATTAGGGGAATGGAGGACCAGAGCTATGAGACAAGGCTTCTGACCTTAAACATGTTTACGCTGGAATTAAGGAGATTAAGGGGGGATATGATTTTCATGTACAAGATGTTCAATGGTGACAGCAACATTGGCAACAAACTGTTTGAGATTAACTCCATTACAAAGACTAGAGGCCACCACCTAAAGTTGGTGGAGAAAAAATTCCAGCACAATGGGCGAAGAGGGTTCTTTACAGTAAGAGCGGTTAAGGTCTGGAACTCACTGCCATCGGCAGTGATTTCAGGCAAGAGTGTAGATTTGTTCAAGAAACGTTTGGACATTTTCTTGAGGGACCGTAATATCCAGGGATACCAGTATCCCTAAGAATGAGATGATGCGTGGACCTATATGGGTTGGACTTGATGGACGTATGTCTTTATTCAACCCCAAATACTATGTAACTATTTCTATATGTGATGATCTTTTTTGATTTTAATGCTTGTCATCATTTTTAAACTTTTAAACAAGTTTACTTTTTTTCTTAAATTCACTAAGTGTACACTTTGGAGTTTTCAAATATGAAAAAGAAAATGTTATTTCTGAATTGGTATTATCAGTTCATATCCTGAGTCGAATTGTCAGAAAGGCCAATGTGGCCTGCAGGGTCAAGTGAGCTGACACCAACAGCCTCAACACACTCCTCGGAGTCTTCTCTAGCTCCTCTACCTTTTTATAAGCAGCAGTTTTCTGTAGCTATGCCTAATTTCATTGGCAAAATTGCAACTATTTTTTTTTGTTTGAGCACAGAGGCCATAAACACCTTCTCCAGAATCTGTGTTAGGCGCAGCTGGTGGAGGCCTCCAAGCCTTCTATTTTTGGCTTTGTCTGAATGAGGCTCACAAATGCATGATAGATTAATTTTTTTTTTTGAGGAGCCACAGCCACTTGCTATAACTCCTAATCGTAAAGAAACCATATCTATTCTTACTGATGCAATGCATGCCACATTAAAATTAGAACAGAGTGTACAGTAGCTTCTACTAGAGATTTTGTTAGTCTGGGATTCCTGAAAAGACTCCAACACTATTAAAACCTTTCTGGTACATTTCTTACCTGAAACTGTTCTGTCCTGTGATTGGAATACACCTGTTAATCTCTGCAGCCCTCCCAAACATTTTAAAGACCAATGCCCATTTGAGGAGGCATTTATCAAAATGTGGGTTGTTCCCACCATGGATTCTGCAATGTAACACCTACAGAAAACACTGACAATATTTAAGTATCCCACTGACAAATGTTTGGAAGCCTTTTCCAAAGCATTGGTTTCACTAGCATGTCCTGATATGCAGCCTGCCAAAGCTATAATGTTCGTATATCAAACCTTAGAGGAGCGGACTAAACTGAAGTCTAAGGATCCTTACTGATCCTGTTTTTGTAGACCATTTATGCCTTCAGCCCTACATTATCGCATAGATGGTTTAGTTGACATTTGGTATTGTCTTTCCCGAATGATTAAAAACTCTGGCTAAAATGTTCGCATGCAGAAAAGCAGCCAAGGAACTCTTGCTGTGTGTGCCTTTTTAAAGGAGAATGTCTTTTTGGTGCCTCTTTGGACACCCTCATGAAGGACGTTACTTGGAGTTAAAAGTACTTTGAAGCCTAAACCACAAACTGAAAAAACTTCTCCCCCCGAGGCCAATAAGAGTTCCTTTGTGTTACTCCCAGGCTTCAACTTCCATGGTCTATGCAGACACCTACTTCATCATTTTAGAGTTTTTAGGTCTTATCCTGCACACAGCTTAAGCCTTCCCAAAGTAATACTTCCAACTCTCTGCTCCCAGACTACAGTCCAGATGCCATCCAATTCCGCATGAGAGTTCTAGGCCCGATGGTAAGTTCCTTTTGAGTCAGGACTATTTGCTCACTTCCACTCCGGACCCCTACACCACAACATCCTGTAGTTTTGGAAGAAATCAGTTCAGTCTTTAGACAAACCAGTTCACCTGACATCAAAGACCAAGTCATCTCTCTAATGCTGAGTTAGCAATCCAGCTCTGAAACTTGGAAAATCTTTCCTCCCACTGTCTTAGAATATTATCACAATGAATGCCAACTTTAGGGTCTAGGGAGGATTCCTAGATACATTGTTGGTGCAGGGGACTTGAAAAATCTTGTCTTCAATCAGCTGAATCCCGATCTAAAGTTTAGAGTGATTTTCTTGTCCCTGCAACACTGAATATTTCAAACCCCCACAGCTAGCTGTAGCATACATCAACTATCAGGAAGAAATCAGAAGTCTCCCCACAGCAAGAAAGGTAGAGGGGTTTGTAGCCTGGGCAAAACTCCACTTCCAGCTTTGTCAATGGTCTACACCTTGAATGTTAACAGCAGACAGTCTACCTTAGTCAGCAGTGACTGAACCCAGGGGAATGAATGGTCCCTACACTTTGGACGGTTTCGGGACCTGTGTCACAGATGGGGGGTGGGGGGGAGATGCCAGATGTGGACCTTCTGGCCTCCAGGTTCAACACCAAACTGCACAGATTTGTATCTAGATGTATGGATGCTTTGGTGGTGCCGTGGGATTAGTACAGTCTAATCTACGTCTTTTGCTCCTCAAACGTCTTCCTCGTCTACTCCCACAGGATGGAGATGGAGGGCATTCCCAGGCACATGTACTCGGTCCTGATCAAATATGTAGGCACGCTGTGGGCTCTTCCAGATCAACCTAATCTCTTATCTCAAGGACCAGTTTACCATCCTTCTTTTTGCTGACTTTAACAATGTGGTTGTTGAAGTCCAGGTCTTGAGAAACAGGGGTCTTTCTGATTTCATTAATTCCCACACCATTAAAACTAGGAAGTCTACTAGTTAAGAAAAATCCGAACCTTTCTGCAATAAGGGCTGCTTTAGCATTTGGCCTTGAGTACTATTAGGGGTAAATCAAGGCCCTTGCAATCTCATGCCAAAGACTTCTAGGGGGTGATTTACTAACCTAAACACACACACACACCAGGTGTGTGTGATTTTCACACAGCAAAACGTATTTATCAACCAAAAAGTCTCTAAAAGCATATTTCCACTAATGCCATATATGGAAAAATCATGCACATGATGCATATATAATGCTGCTTCACAGTTTAGACAAAAATGGTTAGCTCATGCATTTACATTCCTTGCATTCATCAACGCAAGCAACACAACATAGAGCTAATTTACACAACATCACCTTGCAATTCATTCAGGGCTTTGCACAACACACCTGCTGGGTGTGTACACATTACAAAGGTGTTTAGATTCCACCCATAGATCATGCTGGGAGGGAACACACTGCAGAGGTGTATACACATTCGTGGTGTGTTTATAAGGTTAGTAAATCAACCCCCTAGTCTCCCATTCATTAGACAAACTTTAGTAGAGAATGTCTCTCATGGGGCCCCTCCTGTACAATGTGACTCTCTGCCATCTAAATTTAGTCTTATTGGCATTCAAAAACAGTCTTTTTAATTGGAGATAGTCCCCTTTTTACTCTCAATCACAACGTTGTGTTCCTTTCCAGGCGTGTGTTTGAACAAACTGCTTTTACCTCTCACCCTCTGTTTACCATTCCCGATGTTCTCCGCAAAGGGGAACCAGCTTCTTGCTCCACCATTTCTCAGTGGCTCAGACTGCGCAGGCGTGCACTCCAGGGTGGAGGGTTAAAGTCCTAATGTAAAAAGATAATTAGATTCTACACTAATCAGGTATATTGGTTGGATAGTGTAAACCACAATCATTTTCTTTGTTTCCATTTTAATTTAAATATACCTCCATATATAAAACGTTCTTTCTAAAATGTACTAATGTCCAAGATCAAGTGGTCACCTGTACCTTTTTTTTGTAGTGCATATTTAGAAAATTTCTTAAAATTTTTGCTTAAAATTTGATTGTGATGGGCAATGGTAATCCATTTTCTGTAAAGAAATTTCCATACATAAGCCACATGTGCAGACTTTAGGTTGTTTGACTTTTTTTTTTTTTTTAATACTATTGTTTTTTCCTTACAGTGTTGTGTCCTACCTAGCAATTTTCCATCTCCTTAGAATGACCTCACTAGTGTTTCAGAAGATGGATTTTTCATGGAGACATGGAAGTCACTTAAATAACCTTACAGAGGATCTGCTTTCATCTGCATCCTTTCAGTTTGTCGATTTGGTGTTTTGAGCATGTTGATATGATTAATTAGCTATTGCCCTTGTCTGTGGTAGCAGAGTGTTTTGAGCTCCTACCATTGCTTATGTAGACTACATATAATCTTAGGTTGGATAATTTAATGTGCTATTTATGAGATTAGGACAAATGTACAGTTTTAACCTGTTTTTATGTGTCTCTAGTTCTATTCTTACAGTACATGCAAGTAAAAATGTGCATCGACTCGTTAATTTTAAGATGAGAAGACAAGTTTCATATAGGTATATAGTTTTATCCAATAGCTAGTGATAATCTCCTAGCTCAGTTCAGGAATATTTTTCATTTTGTCTATTATAAAAGGGATCAAATACAAATTGCACTGATATAAACATATATCATGTTTTTTTTCTCCAATATTTTTTTAAACAAAATAAAAAAATATAAGCACTACAAATTGTGTTAGCCTAAGTCCACTTACAGAAACTCTGCCAATTTGCTCAATCTAGGCAAAGTGACAAAATATCCTTAAAGTCCAACCCCTAGCCCACTTATACATACCTTCAAACATTCCCATGCTTCGTTCCACTGCTGTCCTAGTCATGTAAGCTGATTATCAGATTGTGTTGGAGCTTATGTAGGGTTGATCCTCTCCTCTTTCTAGGCCCCCGCACTGCTAGCTTGGACTAACTTTGCCATACCTGGAAGCACTGGGTACTTTGTTGCTCAAGGAGCTGCGTGCGTGCATACACATGGAGATGTTGAATATGAGCCCTGGCTAGGCAAAGTGACGGTCTTTTTAAATGGAGCATGTTCGGATAGAAATATGGAATTTGATGGTCCTCAACCTATATTTACTACTAGTCTCTGTGTTGAAATAAGTACCAGTACCAGAATTCCGTCAAGCTGCTTACTTGTTTCAGTTCAATAACAACACTTTAAAGAGGCAACTAGAGGGAAAGGGAAAAAAAAAGAGATACTTTTTCATTCAGAATAGTGAAAAATACTTACTCTGTGACCTCACTGGCTCTGGCTAGGCTGCTCACATCAAACAAGGTTCCACTCTAGTGCACACCAACGTGCCAAGAGGTGAGAGGGCATGAAAACTCAAAGCATAAATATTTTTCATCCTCTCTGACCTCTTGGTACGTATGCAGGGGGAGCACTAAGCCAAAAGGTTAAAGCGTACAAAATGGCTTCTCCCCATTCAGTTAACATACATGTGCAACAGTGTGCACCATATTGTGGTGTACGCCCTGCAGTGCGTTCTTAGGATGCATCGCAGTGCTTAATTTCTAAATAGCTGTTACAGCACATGGCAAAGCGTTGTGATGCATTGCCGTGCATTGTGATAAGCTGTGTTGCGATTAAATGTATGCCTGTATCATTTTATCACAACACACCGCGCACAAACAATTAACATAAGTCGCTTATTTACAGTTTTGCCTTCATTTCTTTACCATTTTGCGAAAAGGCGAAATTAAAAATTTACAAATATTTGTTCATTAACTCAATACATTGTATCTTTTAGATTTCAGAAAATATATATATATATATTTTTTTTACTAAATACTGATGGAGGAGAGTGATGTGAGCCCCGAAAGACATTGAATGTTTTATCTGATGTTGATAAAGAACCATTAGAGCATTTTGTACACCTTTTACTTTTTTTAAGACATTCTGTGACAAGAACTAGCGGTTACTTTTATTTGCGATCAGTTTTTCAGCATAAAAGTTGTCTGCTGTGGCAAGAGAACAGCTGTAATGGTGTCCTCCTGACAGAAAATAAGTAGTAGGTAATTTCTACTCGTCTGTGATCAGTAACATTGAGTTAGTACATACAGTACCATGTTATACAAAATGTAACATTTTTCTGATTTTGTAAATCAGATAATATGAAACTTCAGAGTATGCAGGCCTATATGCTGCACTGATGATGCATGTTTTAAAGGTAGGTATTTGTATAGTTTTATTATGTTAAGGGAAGTCTCCTGAATGCACAGTGTTATTTTTATTCTTTAATGGACATAGTATATTTTTTAAAAGACGAATGCATTATCAATTTATCAATAGGTTGGGACAATGGTATGTGTTTTAATGTTATGTTATTGTGCATTATTCCACAATAGACACATTTAATTTCCACTCTAATATGCTATACAAGAACATAAATATATTTTTTATTTTATTCATATTGTTTACATTGAAAACTTGCTTTCCCTAATATTTTTTCCACTGTAAATCATCTATATTGCAGGTTAGCAATCCTTAAATGTGGTGTCTGCATTAGATTCCTTTTTTCAGGCACTTTTTTTCCTTTATTTTTACCTGATGATCCCACCAGTAAATCTCCTACTTTTTCATTTCCTTTGATAGAAAAGTAACAGAGGGGTTGAGATAAACTATTTACCACACTGACAGGGGTGCCTTCAATGATTAGCTTTGATTCCTTGAAAACCTTTAACCCAAAAGGAAAAAAAACCTGTTGTTATAACTGTTTAAAAAGTGTTAGCTGGAGTTCAGATTAAAATTGTTACTCATGTCGATTTTTAAATCTGCTAGTGCATCTAACACTACCCTCTGTACAGGCTGCCAGTGGGACCCCCTTGAGATGGAAAGTGTTACTGGCCAGATCACCAGGTGAAAATAAAGGGGGGGAAATCCTAAACAAAAAAAAATGTATACAACCACCACATTTAAACACTTAAGGACTACAATACTGCTATAAATGGCATGGTCCTAAAGTGGTTATACCAAGAACACAGCTGCTGGTACCATTTTTTTCAGCCAGCACTTGTTGCATCAAACAAGCTGTATAAAGTTGTATTAAACTCTTAAACTTTTTTTTTCAATAATGAATCCATATCAAACAAACACGTACAATCATGTTTTTGAACAGCTGCTTCCAAATCTCTCAGCTAAGCTTCTCTGAACATAGTGTCCAGTACAAGACCACAAGGAACAGAGCAGACTCCAGCAACTGTTCATCTACTAGCAGGGAAGAGAGGGGGCCAGGGGGAGGACAGTAGATTGATTTGCTGTGTGTTTGTGGAGACACAGACAGCATACTAGCACATACAAGGGTGACTGTATAGTAAAGTGCTTGAGAAAGGAGTCATTCTGAAACAGGAAGTGAGGACCAGTGCTCAGGGGACCTATTGATTCTGCAGGAAACTTAGTCCTGGTTTACACCTAGGTGTTTTTAAGCAGTAGGAAAAAGCTTAAACGCCCAATACAAGAAATCCCTGATTTTCAATGGCCCCTGTTCACACCTGAGCGGCAAAACGGCAAACGCAGAAAAAAAAAAAAATGAGCTTCTTTTGGCAGTTTCCAGCTCGCTTTTGTCCCAATATATTTCAAAGGAAGCATCAGGAAACGCTTACAGAAGCATGTTGCACATTTTCTTGCAGGGTTGTACATGTGTTCATCTATTAACCGCAATGTTTTTAAGCTGCCAGTCAAAACGCATGTCTTCATTTTCATGCGATTTTTTTTTTTTTTTTTTTTTTTTTTTTTGTGCGCTGAAAGGTTCAAATGGGCAAAAAAAGCTCCTTGAACCTGCGTGTACAACTGTGCAAAAACGATGACTCCTTGGTGTGAACGGGGTCTAAAAAGTTGAAACATCAAGAAGCAGCATCTTTTGTAAATGGTTTAATCAGCATGTCAAATGGCTTAAAATCCTTTTGACTATAATATCACTTTAAGAAAAACTGTCAGCTGTCTTTATCTATATTGTTTTGGCTGAAGGCAAACGTCAAGCCTGATGTTAGTGTATAGACACCCTAGCAGTAAACCTTTGTTTGCTCACTTTTGTTCTGCCATACCATTGAAAGCATGTTATATCTGTTTGATAATTACAAAAAAAATACTTGGTGTCCCTGTCAGAAATTCATAGCTATTTTGTGTCTTTCTCACTCTGCCTGTGTTATCACTTTTCTTGGACTACAAAACAATTGCTCCCTATGTGGTAGAGATGACAGAGGGAAGTATTCTGTCATTTACCGAGAGACAAATGGGCAGGCTAGAAATCTTGCTATTTCAGTCCACAAAAGGCACTGTGTAAAGAAAAGGCAGGAAATTAGGAGCTGAGTGAACTTCTGGTAGATCTGGCATTTTCCTGTACTTGCAGGAACTTGTAATGCATAAAACTAGGGGAAATGTGCATGTATTGCATAGATGTAAAATAAAAATGCATGGCCATTGTTCTCCTCAGCATGGCATAGCGGAGCAGGAAGAAAAATATTTTTGAATTATGCAATAGGAGCTTCCACTTTGCTGTGTGTCAGTTGATGATGTTGCGGAGTGGGTGGTGGTTGCAGACATAAAACATTAAGGTGGCAATGGTTGCTCTGCCAATGCAAGAAGACTGTAAAAGAACTGCGTATGCTTGATGTTCTCAAAAAGCCTAATACAAACTTTAGGGGGCAATTGAATACTTTTGGAAAACATATATTTTTTTTACTGTTTTGAATGTTTGTTTGGCGCAAGATTATACATTTGACTCTATGGGCAGATTGAAAAGATGGCAAGGTGGAGATGAGAACCAGACTGAATGTCAGGACTGAGAGTGCATAAACATACAATGTCTTGAGATCTTTAGCCCTATGTTAAGACACAGTCTAGTTAACAACTGATAATGAAATCTGCAAGCACAGTACACATAGGGTAAATTATGGCAAACACAACTCCCCTACCCCCTTATAAACATTACATAGTAAAGGAGAGCTAAGTAGGATTTTTCAGTCCTGGGGTTCTCAGAAAATAACTCTTAAAAAGATGAGCATCAATTTCTTTTTTTTGTTATGCTATGTTAATAGGAAAATGTAACAAATCTAAAGTAGCTGTGATCCCAGCTTGGCTGCAAAAGGGATATGCACTTTAAGTAGTTTTCAAAATGTAATCACACAATGAATTTACATGGCTAAATGAAAGGGCAGTTACCATATTCAGCTCTGTATATGACATAATAAAAAGACTACAATGCTATCAGATAGAAAGTAGAAAAATAAATACTCTTATGAAACTTTGCACAGCACTTGTTAAAAAAAAAAATACAAAACATTAACGGTGTTTTATTCCATGTAGTACATGGTTTATGTAACTTCAGCTAAAGGGAATATTTAGTCATTGTATATTGCTTAGACACTTATTTACAAATATGCATTTATACATTGGAT